TCCTAAACTGGCTGAGGTAACCGTGAAGAAGTCTCCTTCTCAGCCTCTCCCCTCACCTGAGGCATTGTGACCTTCAGCTTAAACCACCACCACTCTTGTCTCTCTAATGATGGAGCAGCCCTGTGGTCTGGTAGGACTGAGGTGACTTTATCAAGTTGCTGCAGTACATCCATCCTGGAGGTGGTACTGACTACAGCCACATTGGTCCATTGGTGAGTGTTAATTATTTAAGGTGACGGATTGGGTGCCAATTTGCCACTACTCCAGAAACGATCAAGATAAGTACATAGTGGTCAGCAGTGTGATAGGAATTCATCTTTTAGGTGTTGAAAAGGTTTCCTGAAGTCAGTAGGTGGGTCGTTTGCCACTGAATACGCTGCCTCTGATTTGTTCTTGGCAACCACTTTATTTTTGTGCCTTGGATAGTTGCATTTCTGGTGAATGATGATCCCAAGGAAACTGCTGATGAGGGGTTCAACTACAGTAATACTTTTGAATATTAATGAGAGATGTTTAGATTCTGCTTGTTGAAAATTACCACATCCAGGCACTTGCATCGCTTAAACTTTACTTGCCTCTTGCCCATGCATAAGAGCCCATGTTGTTGAAGGTGGTATATTAGCATGGCCAGAGAATTGGTGAATGGGCAGGAAACAGCAAGTGGGGATGAGGGTTTCTTTTTCATATTGGCAACCTGTACCCAGTGGGATTCCACAGGGATCAGTACTGGTACTGCGACTGTTAACTATGTATATTAATGACTTTGAAGGAGGAAATGAATGAACTATAACCAGATTTGCAGATGACACAAAAATAGGTGGAAAGGCAGTTTTGGGACTTGAATATAAACAGTTTGCAGAGAGGTAGCAAAAAACTGAAGAACTGCGGGTGCTGGAAATCAGAAATTGCTGGAAAGACTCAGCAGGCCTGGCAGCATCTGTGGAAAGAAATGAAAGTTAATGTTATAGGTCCAGAGAGATATTTATAGATCAGTAAATGAGCCAAAAGTTGGCAAAGTGTGTATTATGTGCGAAAGTGTGGAGTTGTTCATTTTGGAAGGTAGAACAAAAGAATAGAGTATCATTTATGCAGAGAAAAGCTGCAGAAAGCTGCAACACAGAGACTATGGGGTACTTGTATACGAAACACAGAAAGCTAGCACCCAGGGCAGCAGGTAATCAGGAAGGCTAATGGAATGTTGGCCTTTATTCCAAAGGAGTTTGGAGTATAAGAGGAGGGAAGTCTTACTGCAACAATTTCAGACTGAGATTAGGGATTCCTTCTGTCAGAAGGCTGAGTGTCTTTGGAATTCCTTGCCACAATGTGGGTAGTATTCTTGTGTATATTTAATGCTGAAATAGATCCTTGATCAGTCGGGGAATCAAGAGTTATGGGGAAAAAGAAGGAAAGTGGATGTGAGTTGTGTCGGATCAGCTATTGAATGGCGGAACAGGCTAAACGGGATGAGTGGCTTATTCCTGTTCCTATTTCTTATGTTCTTATAAATATTGTCAAGGCATAGATGCATGTTGTCAAGGAGTGCTTCACTATCAGAGGAATTGTCATTGCAGCTGAATACTGTGCAATCATATATAAACGAGCCCAACTTCTGAGCTTGTGAAGGCAAGGCATTAATTTGGTATGTCCTTTTGAAGTCACTGATTCCTTCTTTGTTCTGTCTGCAGATATTTAGGTTGAGCGCCTTTTATTCGTTGGAACATAGGACTTAGGGACAGGAGTAGGCCATTTGGTCTTTCTAGTCTACTCTGTGATTCATTAAGATTATGCTTGGTTTGGTTATGGTCTGAACTCCACTTCCCTGTCTGCCGTCCCTTACCCTTCACACTTTTTTATTGACTGGTGATCTATTTAACTCTGTCCTCACAACTGTGCACCTGATCTGCTCACCTGTGAGATGCTTTTGGTCAGCTGTCAGTCGGACAGCTGCTCTGTAGCTCCCTCGCCAAATTCCCAAGTTCACATTCTGTGCGGCAAGCTGCTCTAGTCATGTTTATTTACTTTGTGCATTTGGCAAAATAGTTTGTTTATTAGCGGACATTCTATCTGAGTCAACACAGCTAATTAGAGAAACCAGTTCACACTTGTTCCCTAATTAAATGGCTGTTATTGCCTCTCCCGTAGAGAGCTTGTTTATTGATGACTGAAATGTTTTTAAAAACTTCCAATGTTAACTTGTAGTTAAATTCAAAGATTTGATTTTAATAAGAAATTAACCCTTAAAATTCCCTAACTAAACTCCCAAACACACACACTATGGCTAGGTGCACTCAATGCTGAACTGCTGTTTGTGTGCTCCAAGTTACTTAAATAAAACCGAGAGAAAAGCAGTTATCTTGCAGTGATGAGATAGTAGGAACTGCAGATGCTAGAGAATCTGAGATAACAAGGTGTAGAGCTGGATGAACACAGCAGGTCAAGCAGCATCAGAGGTGCAAGAAAGCTGACGTTTCGGGCCTAGACCCTTCTTCAGAAATGGGGGAGGGGAAGGGGGTTCTGAAATAAATAGGGAGAGACAGGAAGGTGGATAGAAGATGGATAGAGGAGAAGATAGGTGGAGAGGAGACAGACAGGTCAAAGAGGCGGGGATGGAGCCAGTAAAGGTGAGTGTAGGTGGGGAGTTAGGGAGGGGATAGGTCAGTCCAGGGAGGACGGACAGGTCAAGAGGGCAGGATGAGGCTAGTAGGTAGGAGATGGGGGTGCGGCTTGATGTGGGAGGAGGGGCTAGGTGGGAGGAAGGACAGGTTAGGGAGGCGGGGACAAGCTGGGCTGGTTTTGGGACGAGGTCGGGGGAGGGGAGATTTTGAAGCTTGTGAAGTCCACATTGATACCATTGAGCTGCAGGGTTCCCAAGCGGAATATGAGGTGCTGTTCCCAGGATGAGGCATTCCACCGCATCTGCTCCCAGGATGAGGCACTCCACTCATGAACATCTCAGATTCCGCATCTGCTCCCAGGATGAGGCACTCCACTCATGAACATCTCAGATTCCGCATCTGCTCCCAGGATGAGGCACTCCACTCATGAACATCTCAGATTCCGCATCTGCTCCCAGGGTGAGGCACTCCGCTCCCGAACATCTCAGATTCCGCATCTGCTCCCAGGATGAGGCATTCCACTCCCGAACATCTCAGATTCCTGCAAAAATGCCTTCCCCTATTTCCAATTCCTTCACCTCCGCTGCATCTGCTCTCAGGATGAGGCATTCCACTCCTGAACATCTCAGATGTCCTCGTTTTTCAAGGACCGCAACCCCCCCCACCCCCCCCAGTGGTCGAGAATGCCCTCGACCGCATTTCCCGCAACTCATCCCTCACACCCCCTCCCCGCAATAACAACCAAAACAGAATCCCCCTCGTCCTCAAGTACCACCCCACCAACCTCCGGATCCAATGCATCATCCTCCGACACTTCCGCCATCTGCAATCCGACCCCACCACCGAAGACATTTTTCCCTCCCCACCCTTATCTACTTTCCAGAGGGACCACTCTGTCCGAGACTCCCTTGTCCGCTCCACACTCCCGTCCAGCCCTACCACACCCGGCACTTTTCCTTGCAACCGCAGGAAGTGCTACACCTGCCCCTACGCCTCATCCCCATCCCAGACCCCAAGAAGACTTTTCACATCAAGCAAACGTTCACCTGCACATCTGCTAATGTGGTAAACTGTATCCGCTGTTCCCGTTGTGGCCTCCTCTACATCGGGGAAACCAAGAGGAGGCTTGGGGACTGCTTTGCAGAACACCTACGCTCAGTTCGCACTAAACAACTGCACCTCCCAGTCGCAAACCATTTCAACTCCCCCGCCCATTCCTCAGACGACATGTCCATCCTGGGCCTCCTGCAGTGCCACAACGATGCCACCCGAAGGTTGCAGGAACAGCACCTCATATTCCGCTTGGGAACCCTGCAGCCCAATGGTATCAATGTGGACTTCACAAGCTTCAAAATCTCGCGCCCCCCGCCACCCCGACCGCATCCCAAAACCAGCCCAGCTCGACCCACCTCCCTAACGTGTCCTTCCTCCCACCTATCCCCTCCTCCCACCTCAAGCCGCACCCCCATCTCCTACCCACTAGCCTCATCCCGCCCCCTTGACCTGTCCGTCCTCCCTGGACTGACCTATCCCCTCCCTAACTCCCCACCTACACTCACCTTTACT